CTCCTGCGTGAGGAGGCCGGTGCGGACCGGGGGGAGCGGTGAAAGGTGCGACAGCAGCGGAATAACTGGCACCCAACCCTTCCCCGACAGGTTTCCAAACCCCCATTTTAGCCACGGAGCGGCAGACGGAAAACCGGTAAGATGGCCGGTACCGCGGGCCGGGGACTTTGTTGCGAGCAGGGGTGGGTAGCAGAGCTCAGAAGAGGAAAACAACAAGTCCGATTTCCCCGGAGTCCTCCCCGGGAGCCCCAGCGTGCCCCCGAGCTGGGATTTGGGTGCAGGACACGCGGCAGCGAGCGGAACTCTCCGCTGAGCCTCGGCAAGCGCCCGGCTCCCGGCACGCCTCCAGCAGCTGTCAGGAGCGGGAGAAAACCCCTCTGAAACGCTGGGTGCCAGAGTGCTGCCACAGCGCCGAGCGGCTCTGGAAGTGGCGTTTCATGCCTGGGAACATTAGGCAAGACCACTGTTAAAAAACAGGTTCTGCAGCAGCTCCATTGCTACGTTGGATGATGTAAAGGAGGAGGAGAAAGGAGTCAAGCAGTTACAGCAGTCGTGAGCCCGCCAAACGGAACTGTTCTCGACTGTGTTTTCCAGAGGACTAAAACAGGCTAGAGTAAGGGGGATCTTACGAACAATGCACCCGAGCTCCCTTTGAAGCATGGGACGGCAAACGCTTTCGTTTTCATTCAGAGGTGTGACATCCAAAGGGCTGTCTCCCCCTGCAGCAGGCAGGGCACAAAGCAGCAGGCTCTGCCGCTTTCGGAGGAATATTTTAAATCCAGAGCAGAACCACACACAGTCCCCTTACCGTCACATCATTTTACCATACAGGCTGAGCAATGACTCCACGTTCTAGGAGCAGAGAAATAGTCAAACCTGACCCCACACCGTTCCGATTCATTTCTCTGTCATCAGGTGTTGTATAGGGCTCTGCACAGGAGTCCTGTGGGCTTGTGTAAAAGTAGCTTAGTGCTTCCATCGCCATCGTTCTTAAGAATCAGGGACCACAGGGCTACAGCTGGAGGAAACACTGCTGTTACTGATACAAAGTCTTCTACCCTGCTCACAGAGGGACCTGCAAACACACCCCTGCCAATGTCTAAACTGGAAGAGAAAGAAGCTCTGACGTAGGCTTTTAAAAGTGTTTATTGATGGTTATTAGATGGAATGATGGCGCAATAGTGCAAACCACTGTGCAATTGGGAGAACAAACTCCCTTCCCAGCTTTCACATTTACTTTATTATACAGGAGACATGGAATAAGGATTAAATACAAAACGGGTCAGTATGCTGCGCTTACCACACTCCACTGGCCTCTGGGCAGATTACTGTTCCCTCAGTGCATGTCAGTTCAGAGCTATGTTGACGTGGGGAGTGGCTGCTATGTCCTGGCCAGCTTTACCAGCAAGACAGCTGGAACCAGCCATCTTCTTCATTTGTACACACATCCTCGGTCTGACAAACCTAGCACTTCACTCAGCCAGTTTCTGCACTTTCTGCTTCATAAATAATGGAAAATATCAGATGTTAACAAGCCACGAATTGTATTTACTACCACACTACAAGTGAGCTTCAAGAGTACTTCTTAAGAAGCAAGATTTCATCTAATACTCATCTGTCTTGCTAGCTTGTAAACTTAGGTGCCCACTTTATCATCTCTGTGTGATTTTTCTCCCTGGAAGCTTCTAAAAACAATTAGGAGTGAGCAGCTACACTTTGTGTTTCTAGTGCTTGAGAGTCAGCATTGGAAGATATTTATTTGCCTAATAATAAACCACCAGCTAATTTCTCTAAGGAAGTAGCATTGTTACGTTATAAGTCAAAGAACATCCTGTCCTCCAGTGATGTATTTTAGGAGAAAACAACCCCAACCATGCTCAAAAAAATGAAACACCACAAGGCTAAGCTGACCAGCACGGAGTGGTTCCACCCACACATACTTCTCTGTGCCCTTCAAATCTGTAACAACATCTTTCTCTTCAAGAGAACCTAGAACCATAGCCACCTGGAGACTGATACAACCATGGGGCAGAGACTGGAGGCTTTAGAAACTGCTGGATTAAGGTGATGTGAATCAGTGTTGTGCCCTCTTTGAATGTCATTCGTATTCCAGTCCAACAAAGTTACCTGTACAGACAAACATTAAAGTTGTGCCACTTGTCAAAAACGAGACATCTCCAATTATTGATCACACTTCAGCATACAGTTGGGACAGGGAATAATACATTACAGAAAGCAAACCCACGAGATTTTAGTTACATAAAACAAGATAATTTGTATATAAACTGATAAATACCGTCTCCATGGTTCACTAACTCCAAATACTAGTTATCTGCACATTAGTTGCTAATATCTATTACTAGAAGTAGTTCCAGCTTGTGCTCTCAGTTCATTTCCGAGACTAGTCAGCCTGTTAGCTCTGAGGGAAAACAGTCTCAGCAATCAGACTAGGTTCCATGTGAAGATTTCATTTTGATATCCACCAGATAAGGAGTCCTATGATTATAGAAGCCACAGCAAGGCCAAGAATCAGGATACAGATCTTCTTACGGGATTTCTTCTAATAAAAGAAAACAAAAAAAGCCACTGACAGCAGGAAGAGATGACAAGAGGAAAGAGCAAATCTATCAGTTAACGTTACTAACCCTTGCAAACCAAAACCCTTGATGTGCACACTTACTCAAGAGAAGTTATTGGTGTAATCTGAACACTTTTACATGGTAAACTGCATGATCATACAGATAAACGTTTTTAGTTTCAGAAGAAAGGTGGTCCAAGAGATGCAGTTAAGTCAAGATGTGACAAGTTTTGCTTCTCTTAAGGAAAAATGCAAGTTTTGGTTCAAGCCGACTACAAAACCAGAACTTGACAACACCTACTGCATGCTTTTCATCCTGACAGACAACACCATGGCTTCAAAGGGAAGGCAAGCATCTCTAGCCATTTAGATTTTCCAGGTAAGACTAATAAAACTTCTGAGGCATTCTCTGATGCAATCTCCCTTTGCCCACTTGGGCTTGGTGTGGAAAAAACTATCGCATTTCTAAAGTTTAAATGATTTCACATACACTAGCTGTACTTGGATTTTATAGCTTGGATCTCTTCATTCATCACAGGAAACCACAGGCTGTCCATATACACCAAACATTTTTAGCGTAGTTACTAAGTGTTTGAGGATAGTTACATATACCCTCTTCCTTCTCCAGCCAGAACAACACATCCAGTATGTGTCCAATAGCTCCCAAACTTTGGTAACAGACCTCAAAACTTTGTGAGGGAAGCCACGGAGTGAGAGGATGCTGCTAAGTACTGCCAGATGTTAAGAGCTACTTTCCCTCCCTTGCACTAAACAGCACAAGGGTTTTATTGCCTTCTAGTACTTCCCCATTTCACAGCTTGAAAGAGTCCAATTTTTTATCCTTTGTGGAAGCCTGAAGTCCCAGCAGTAGAACTATGTATGGGACTGAACAAAGCAGAACCCTTATTCCTTCACAGAACATGGACCTACAAGGACAACAATCATGAAAGGAACCCACAAAACCCACTGAGTGTCAAACACAAAAGAGATTTAAGCAGCAGCGAGAACCACTGCAAGAGAGCTGGCAGGACAGGGAGAACAAAACTCAGCAGTTAGAAAGAGGGGTGCTGCAAATCCTGGTCACCAGAAGTTTCCCAGGTCTGGGCAAAGATTTTTGCATATCAGTGTCTTGGCTGATATGTTTCCAAGATGGATACAACATGAGAATTTGTTCTTGTTTAACTCCTGAGAACAACAAAGACATTTCAGCACTTAAAACTTGCTGAGCACGCCTTCGTGGAGGAACAGACTGACATCTGATCATCCTCTGAAGTAGAAGGGTAATTTCAATACTGTTTTTGACTCAAGTGCTTTATCTATTCCTTGCAGCACAATTTTGAGAGCATGCCAGCTTGCACAAGCTGTTTTTAATAACTTGTTTGCTGTGCTGCAGCCTTCAGTATGTCTTGTTATGGCTCTTCTGTTATTGCTCAGTAATAGAAGCACGCAGAATTTACCTGATAATAGGCAGCTCTCTGTAACTGCTCACTGGCTCTTTCCACATGGACTTCTGCACTTTCCACATTTGCCTCTATGCTATCTATGGAAAAATAAGAGAACTCACTGTAAAATACTTCAGCACATCAGTGTTTAAAAAAAAAGTATATCAGAAATACAATATTTTTTATACAAAGTACTGGAAAATATAATCTAAATAAATAATATAATTGAATTAAGAAGAAAATTACTATTATCCAAACACACTTACCAATCATATCTCCTTGATCATGAATCATCATGGCTAAGTCCTTAAATATCTGATTGACATCCAAAATGTCTGCCTGAAGACAACAGTTTAACAAGTTATAACAAACACTGATTACAATTTTTCTCATCCTCATTCTTAGTACCTCTTCTGACCATTGCTCAGTCGCTTGACTGAGGTGACTTGATGCTACTGTCTGTGGAATTTGGCATTAACACAGGAGCCTACAATGTTCCTGCTAATGAATATTTGTGTCATCACACTAGCAGTTAGTACAGTATGGAATTCAGATGCACACTGTAGCATGTGTTGCTCCTACCATCTCTGAATGACCAGCAGTCAACACTGAAGGAAGATACACTTAGTCTCCTTCACCAGGAACAGGGAGATTGATCTTGGCATCAATCCTCTAAGGAACTCTGTTCCTCCACCTTGATCTCCTCAGCCCATCCCATTAGTTAGCACTGCACGACTTCTCTGTGTTATCTCCCAATACTGTGAACTCGTGGGATCTACTGGTCACCTCTAATTGCCTGATTGCTGATTCTCTTTCTTTAATGAGTTCAAGGTCCTGTTCAGTTATTGCCACATCTTCTTCCTGAGACTGCATTTGATTCCAGTCTTCGCCACTGGAAAGAGATGGAAAGAAAGTCTGACTCTTTCTCTGAGGACAGGCATTTCTGCACTCCATTTATAGCAAAGTGTCAGTGAGTTAAAGGTGAAAAGTTGCCTACAGAACAAGCCCCCAGGTTCCTGACCCTGCAACCATAGGCAGAGACAGGACTGACTGTGACAACAGTGACAAATTAGAACAATTGAAAAAAAAGGGACAGATAGGAAAAGTGAAGGAACTGGAAAGCAGTTACATACATAGAGTACTCTCTCTGTTCTAGGACTTGACAGTTACAGCATTATAGAAGAAATCCCCTTATTTCAGTTCTGCCTTTTTTGGTATGGTTTTTTTTTTCCTTTTCTTTTGTTGTTTGTTTGTTTGTTTTTTCCCAGTACCTGTACCTTCTTTCCCTCTCACCATCCTCAAAAAAGGTAGAAATCAGGGTGAAGGTTTTGACAGAGAGGAGCCTGCAAGCACGTTATCAGAACAAAAGAACATCTGACAAGCATCTGGATTCAAAGGTTCTCACTTGCTATCTGGCATTTGAAGATAAAAATAAAGTGCTTTAGTTTTTTTAATTCATTAGTCTGGTAAGAACTTCAAATTAAATCACACACCAAAAGAGATGTTAGAAAACAAACAGCTCTGCATCCCAGTCTACCTCTCTCCTGATGATCTAGTACCTGATAACCACTGCAAAAGTTACACCACTTACAATGAAAGAAGTACCTATAATACAAGAAATAGAAAGCACAGAAAGTTCTTCAAGGGGAACATCTCCCTCTCCTCCACAAGGAGAAGTGTGCTGGAAAGCACTGTAACATCCCAGTGTGAGGTATACAAGACTAAATAGTTAAGTTTTAAAGTCTCAAAGTGCCAAAAGAAATGAAGATAAACTACATGGCTAGGTCAGGGAGAGCTGATCATTCCAACAACTCAGCTCCAAGGTGACAGCAGGGTTTTCAGGTATTTAAGGCAGAACTTTCTGACATGTAGCACACAAGAATGACTTTGGAGGAGCTGCTGTGTGCCACCATCTCCTGCTGAGCTAAGAGCCTCTGCACGAACAGGCACCTGTCTGGCTCTCCTTGCTTTAGTGTGCAAGGCCTTCAGACTGATGAATCACAGTTTGCAGAGGAAGGCTGTATAGATGAAGCATGTAAGCTAGGTCTATTTATTTAGAAAATTGAAGGATTTATACAGGTAAGGCCAACAGATTTCAGCCTAGTTTTCTCAAACATACATACAGTAGGAACTGACCCGGGAGTCCCAGATACTTCTGGAGAGCCTCGAGTTCTCTGCAGCACACTGTAGGGTTGATAGAACATTTTACAAACCTATCTACTAAGCAGGCACACTGTTGCTGCAGAATGACAACCACCTGACAGGTGACTAATGCTGTCTTGTGCAAAATCTAGAATTAGTTTGTCAAAGCATAATGTCCAGGACTTCTGAATTTAAGGCAGCCTCACCCTCTACTCTGTGATAGCTGCAACTGGGCTGCCAGAGAACACCCAAACCCATGAAACTGGGTCATTGTGGAAGAGTCACAGTGAGGGAAATCCTGCCTGGTAATCTTGTGGTCAGAGTTCAGGAAACTCCAACTCCCACATAGCAGGGACTCGACTACTCTCAGGGCAGTAATCACACCATCCACATTTAAGGAGGATAAAAAACTAATGTGCAGTTAATTTTTTACATTGTGTATTAAATGTACTGTCATCATTGCCTTTCAGATCTCTTTACTCTGCATTCAACTGCCAGAGCCTGGCCCAATTTACAATAACATATCCTACCACAAAAACTCAAATGTAATTACACACAGTTAAAAGTATAACATCAAGAGAACATGAAGCCATTACCTATCAA